CGGATTGATTTTCAAGGTCCACAGTCTCGCAAACAAAACCCCCTTATTTCTATGATTTCCTACCCGATTTCTCCTCCCTCTCCCTAGCTGATTTATATTCCCTTGGGAATGTGATGGATTTGGACCCTTAAGAATGGATGGTCTGTGTTATCAATTCACTTTATCACCCTATCCCTTAGTTTAAGTAGTGAAGATATTGTGGTTGAAGTGAGTGAAATAATTAACATTATACCCATCTACATCGTAAAAATAACGCAACATTTGTCAGTCTGACTTTTTTTAGTCCTTCTTCCGAACATCAGAACTGTAATTTATTTTCAGAATAGCTGGACAGTTTAAAGTTTGGAATTTTTTTTTATTAAGTGTCTGGTATGTACAACGTGTTTTATAGAGGCATTCCTCCACAACACAATAGGGTTTACATGATCTGACAGGCAATCACTCCACTGTTTGTTTTATTTATTTCCTTGCCAAATCTCAACCTCATTCCCTGAAGGTGGTTTTGAGTGTTTTATCCATTTGGGGTATAGTTTTGACTGATTTTATAATAATAATCCTTTTTTTAGTGTAGCGCCTTATCATGTCATAAAGACATCTCAAAGCACTTTACAAGATTTATTTTAAATTGTAATGATTCTATTTTTTTTAAGTCGGTGAATGCAGCAGCCAATGCACGCACAGCAATGTCCCATAAATAGCCTGGAAGTGAATGACCAATTCTATCTGGAGACTGGTGGCCAGGACAAGGGGAGAAACTCCCTTCTCTTTTTGAACAGTGCCATGTGAACAAGTGGAGTCCTGTAGCTCAGTGGTTAGAGCACTCGCCTTGCAAGCGCAAGGACCTGGGTTTGATTCCCGGACAGGGTGAAACGTTGGGCAAGTTTCCTTACTCCACACGCCTCGGTTTGCCTAGCAGTAGGTAAGAACCCGGTTGTTAGTTGGTTGGAGGATCGCTTTTCCGGGGGTAGTAATCCCTACAAAAAAAAATTTAAATAATAATAGTTTGATCACTCAACCCATGACTATTTATGGGACACTGCTACCTGAGGAGTTGAAGCCAACTGTAGAAACCCACATGCAGAGATTGGCTAACTCAGCAGAGATTTGTGCACCCTTTTGGTCCGATATGTCCTAATCATGGCTCCTTTTTTCCATTCAGCCACACAGGGAGAGTCACTCTCTAGTTAGTAAATCATTTTCCAATTTCCTCACCCGCACTTCCAATCACACAGTGATTTAACAAAAATGATAATAATTCATCATTTGATATAGCGCCTTATCACGTCATTTCACAGGATATTCTGTAAAGTGGTTTGACGGTGTACTTTGTGGGAGAAATGCAGCAGGCAGTTTGCACACAGCAATGTCCCCCAAAGAGCCATGAAGTGAGTGGCCAATTTAATTTGTGGGATTGCTGGTCAGGACAATGGGAAAAAGAAATTCCCTTCCTTGCCCTGTGTTTCTTCTATTTTTCACTTTGTTATATTCATTCTCTGTTCTTCATGATCGTTCCTGTGCAATTTTTTCCGTTCCCGTGTTTTAAATTTTTTTTCAGTGTTGTTCCCTGCAGCACGTTGCCTGGTAATGACTCTCAGTGGGAAAGCACACAGCCTCTGATCTTGAGTCTTTTCCTCACCACACCCCTTCAACAGCTTTGATGAAGTGGCTGCGATTGGAATCCAACCTTGCACAGGGAATAACTGTCTGACCCACAAGAGACCCCAGCACTAATTTATCTCTGGAAAACCCTGCCTCAATCCCTCCGCCTCGTGCCAGTCTTTATCCTTAAATCCCACCTTAAGACCTCCCTCTTCAACCGCACCTATGGTCACCTCCCCTCCCTTTTTCTAAGTTGCTTGGCATCCAATCCCACCACTGTGCAGTGCTCGGAGATGCTACATAAATGTTTGTTGTCGTTGTTGCCATGCCATCCACACACAGTACTGCAGCATTGGCTTTTTCTGAAAACAGCCTCGAGTAAGATATTCAAAGGGCAGGGGGGAAATAAAACCTTAAGGTGTTGAGAGTGCTATCCTTTCCCAAAATGGAAATAAAGTCACTTTGTACAAGTCAAACATCAGGCAATGGACAGGATGAGAAAATACTTGGTCATCACTTTCTGATTCTTTAAGGAACTCGTAAATAACATTTGTAGGCAGGAAAAGTTAAAATTCAATACTTCACACATCAGACAAGTCACACTTCATAATTTCCAACACAAGCTACATTAGTTTGCTGTCTTTCAGCTGCAACCACAGAAACATTCATGGCTGGTGTCTTTCCAGGAATGACACACGTTATTTGTGCTGCCAAAGAACAGCTTCCATTATTTAACCAGAGGGAAAATGTTACATTGCACTGGGAATGCATTACTGCAGCACTGTAAACTACGTGTCTCAAACCACCGTAGAAAGATTATAATAATAATAATCCCTGTATTTGATATAGCGCCTTATCACAGCTTCGAGACGTCTCTAAGGCTCCACAGAATATACTGTAAAGTGAATTGACTGTATATTTTGTGGGCGAAATACAGCAGCCAATTGCGCAAAGGCAGGGTCCCACAAATAATCGTGAATTGAGTGATTGTTATTATTATTTTCTTTGGAAGGGATTATTACCCCTGGAAAGCGATCTGCCAATCGACAAGCAACCATATTCCTACTTACTGCTACATAAACAGAGGCGTGTGGAGTAAAGAAACTTGCCTAATGTTTTGCTGTGCCCGGGAAATAACCCTGGGGCTTCTCGCTTGCGAGGCGAGCCCTCTAACCACTGAGCTACAGGACTCCACAATGGCCTGCATATGATCCTACACCAGTCCTATAAACATCTAATGTTTTCATTTGCTCCTCTGAACTTTCCTCTCCTCCTCCCATCTATCTTCACTCTGTTGACATCGAGACACATTGCACCATCTCCTTCCCTAATTCCATTCTTTCACAAGACCCCAAGACCTTGCACAATCTTCCCTTCCTCATAAATTCAAAGAGACCTTTAATACCCAAACGTCCTTTGATTTATCGAGAGGAGTGGGTATTGATGGGCGGAATGGCCTCTTCTTGTTCCGTGCTTTCTTATTCCCAATTCACCACTTCCCTGCACAATGGCAACACAAGAGCTTTGCTCCACTTGAAATTTACCAGCCTCCAGGGAAATGCGCCGAGACATAGAAAATTAACAAGTCTACTTCACAAAACAAAGATTTAAGCTTTGTACCGACAGTGAAATCTCTCATTATCACTGTTGGGGAACGTCAATGTTTTCAGAACCAGAGTTATTTTTTCCACATAAAGAAGTTGGCCAGAACACTGCTTCAATTCCCAGATTCTGTGTACTTCAATTAGGCCCGTCTGGTTGGGGGCTTGCCTGCACAGTGCGGTGGGAATCTGTCTAATGTCTTGTATCGTTCCAGCTCCCTGCCTTTGGCACAGGCAGCCAAACAAGACACTGATGCAGGTCTCTCCTATATGGACTGTAGTAGAAATGAAATGTAGTAGGACTCATCTAATCGCCTTCTACCAGGTTAGAGAAAAGCATAGTCTATACTAAACAGCTTTTTATAAGAGCAATCACTGCAGCAAAATATCATTTACCTAATTTATAGACTCAACCAGGGGTCCTTTTAATTCTCAAGTTCTCTGTCCCTTGTACAGCGTAATGGGCCAATAATGCTTTGGCTCCAACCATCATTCATTAGCCTTTATAACTGCTGCAGTTGGATTAGAAATTGAAAGTTACATGGCAAGGCTCCATCACACGGATTTTCTTTCTTAGCAAAAGGTACCTTTCTTGCAGCCCGAAACCGTAATTAGAAGCGCACAATAGGTGGTCGGACAACTGTAAAACGCTCCCAGCTCAAACGTTCTGTTCAGAATGAACTTGTGTTTTAATTAGTATTTAAATAGGTGAATAAACCAGAAGGATGGAGGCGCAGGAACCTCCCTGAAGCTGTGAAGCGCAGTGGCTTTCACTGAACGGAAATCAGTGGTAGAGCAATGAATTGGGAAGAATTCTTTGCAGTCTCTGAACTGAATTTTGATTTTTATATAATTTGTATCATTAACATTTTCTCCTTCACAACGCTGTTTGAAAAGAGAAGAAAGATTCTCCCGGTGTCCTGGCCAATATCTTTGTTAATCACTCATTCACCTCACGGCTGTTTGTGGGACATTGCTGTGCACAAAATGGGTGCTGCATTTGCCAACAAAAATGTTTTGCCACGCTTGATGAGAATTACTGCAATGCCTTTTGGACATTTTGACATAAAGGCGTTATAAAAATACAATTATTTTATACGCTGTTCAAGGCCAGGTTTGGGGAATGACCCGCATTAAGGAATCATGTGGAAATCCCAAAGCCAATCTGGTTTGTTTTTCAGTAATGTTAGAATATGCACTGGCAGGAACACACTCCCCCCAACCTTGCACACAGCCTGCCCCTCAGCCCATGTCCACAGCCCTTACATGACTGCTAAAATAAACCTGAGCACATTAGTGCTCAGCAAGGGATCAGACTGTGGGGTGGGGGGTAGTAATGCAAGAGAAGCCCTTAAACTTTCATTTACAGTCCTCAGAGCTGGAGGTTATTTTCGCAAAGTCAGATCTGTACCTCGTAAGTTTTACAGCACAGATTACAGTCATAAAATGCCTTTACCTTGGGAGCACATGATATAGCGCCTTATCACATCATTGAGACATCTCAAAGCACTTCACAGAATATATTTTGCAATAGAATAACTATTTTGTGGACGAAGTGCTAGATGTGCACCTGAGCTGGGGGTGAGAGGGGAAAGTGATCAAAAGGCCGTTCAGAGAGATGCATTCTTGAGACGCACCTTGAACAATGAGGTACCTTCACTCAGGAATGTACACAAAAGCATGACAAGGTCACCAACTGGGATCATGTGAGGAATCCTGTCGCTCTCTGGCGATTCCCTGAGCTAACACCTGAAGAAAGTTTTGCCCTTTTTATATAAGAAAATAAAATGCGGTTCATACCTTCCACCTGTAGCAGGCGCCGTCGGTGAGTTGATTGCTTGCACCATATCGGTAGTGAGAGCATCTAAAACACTGGTGATAAACTCCCCTTTCTTTCCACCAGGACAGCCTGTAAACAGAATAATAAGTGTGATAATCACAGCACGTGTGAAAAGTAACAGTGCTGGTTTGTGCTGCACTCCCAGACTCCTGCAAAGCCTCTCCAAATCACTTTGGATTGCAACTTATAGAATCATAGAATCTTACAGCACAGAAGGAAGACATTTGGCCCATCGTACCTGTGCCAGCATTTGAAAGAACTACCAACTAATTCCTCTCTCCCGCTCTTATCCCATAGCCCTGCATTTTTTTTCCTTTTGAAGTGCCTATCCAATTCTCTTTTGAAAGCTATTATCGAATCTGCTTCCGCCACCCTTCCTTTCAGACAGTGCATTCCTATCTCGCTCCTAAAAGCATGTATCTTTACTGTGCCTTTGGTTGACCTCTTCAACATATATATATATAATAATCCTTGCATTTGATATAGCATGATATCACATCATCAAAGCGTTTCAAAGCACTAAACAGAATATAGTGTAAAGTGGATTTGACTGCGTATTTTGTACAATGCCTGAAGGTTCGGTCACTGATATTAAAAATAAAGAAGTAGGGTGGGGGGGGGGTGTCGAGCAATAAGCAAGAAGGAGCTGGAGAAGATTGCCTAGCATAGGGTGTGGCAATGTCATAGAGGAATTCAACAGTAAAACACAATTCTGATAGCCAATGGAGCTTCATGAGATAATGCATGTTCAGGACAGAACTCAAAGTTCTTGGTCAGTTGTAACTTTTGGAGTAGAACTAAAGAGACCAATGAAGAGACCAGTGGAAAATCATTCAGTAACAACTGTTGGACACCTAGTAATTTATGGTTTAGCACAAAGCAGCACCAGCTTATTATAGAGGAGCTAAGTACCTCGGCCAGCTATAATGAATTATGTCCTCTTTCTGTTGAGCCCCATCCTTACTGAAGTCTTTCCCACGCAGATCACTAAAACCAGGGATGGTTTGGTTGTTTAGAATTGGAGACATGCTATTATGTGTGGAAAGCGCATTGGTTTTCTGTCAAACCTTACTGATGGCCGCAAATTTGCACACCTGGTTGAGGGGACTGTAATCAGCAGTTTCTAATGAATTAAACCTCTATCAAAGTCAGATCAGCTCATCACTGCAAGACAAACAGACCCAAGTGTCGTATCTCTATAGTGTGCCACATAAGGCTGCTGCCAAGCTCTCCCTCCAAGACCTGTCATCTGCACTAAATCCTCTCTTGTGTTTTTCCATGCAAGAGGAACACTCCACAATGGGTCAGCATTCTTATCATGTTTAGCTTGAGCGAACACAGCTGGTGGGAAGAGCATCAACTAATACCAGGTCAAATGGCTGCAACTGGGTATTGTGCAGGAAGGACAATTTGGAGCAGAACACCTGAACAAACTGACCTGGCATAAGGGATCATTGCGTTCAGCAAACTCAGTTCTCTCTCTCGTACTCTGACGAAAGCAGTGGGTTAAAATTGAAAGGAACAATAGCATTAAGATGGTGAGAAACTGGTTGAAATTGCTATTCTTTGTTTCTGATTTTTGAAAGGGCCTTTATCTAGTTTTTGTAACCTTTTTTTGATTTTAGTTTTTTTTGTGTACGTCGGAACGTTTTTAAACCTCTTGCCTTCCGTGCGTGTTTTTGGGCACCAGGCCGAGGAAATAGAATTGGGAATGTTTCAATTCTGTTGGGTCTAAAGGGAACACTTCTGGGGATCACTGTGAATGCTAGCCTCAAATTATCCTCCAAACCTTTCATTGTTCAGCTATGCTTGATGTTAATTCCTCTGCTAAATGCAAACCTACTGACTCACCTTTGCCTATTCTAGGCAGAATTAAAACATCAAGTACAGTCTTGAAGTGGCATGCACCAAATACATTACCCACTCCCTTAAATGTAGCACAGGCATTGAAAAGAACTCTCAAATGTAAGCACTTTAACCCCAACCTTAGAAGAGCCACTCTTTTATATAAGTGAGCATAATGTGTTTCCATTTCTCACACTCCACTGTTAGGAAGAATTAATCGTATTAATTCTCCATTGGAACAGATTGTGAAGGACAGTCCGTCGACACGGAGCAACTACCGATGCGTCTCCACAGACTGAGTTTGAGAACAACTTGTTGCGTTGTTTCCAAGCTCTTTCCATCTCGGTGCCAGTATCTGTAAAATTTATCTGCAAAAGCAAATGCGAGAGACCTGGGTTTGATTCCCAGCAGGGCGAAACCTTGGGCAAGTTTCCTTACTCCATATGCTTGATAATAACCTCTCAAGAAATAAAATAAATTATAATTTGGTCATTCAATCCAAGACTGTTTTGTGGGACATTGCTGTGTGCAATTGGCTGCCAGGTTTTACCCACAAACATAATCAATTCCCTTTACAGTATATTTTGTGAAGCGCTTTGAGACATCTAGAAGATGTGAAAAGCACTATATTAAATGCAAGGATTATTATTTTCAACAATTATTATCATATATTTAATTGATACAGCGGCTTTCACTTTGGAGAACATCTCAAAGAGCTTAACCTTGCTGGCTGGATATCCGAGCTGGGAGTGGGGGAAGAGATGACCGAAAATGTAATCTGTAGAGATTTTTTTTAAACGATCAACTGAAAACAACTAAAATGCTTCTCTGATCACTGTGCACTGTGGACTGATATTTTAAAACCCCAATTCTGGTAAATTTACCTCTTCCCTCTTGGCTCTTAAAATATTCAAGGTAATTTTCCTTCCACTGTGCTAATCAGGAGCTGTCCCTGTGTCTCTCAGTTTAACTTCATTCCTGTGTGTTTTCTTCTCTTTCTTGGAGTTTCAAACTTATGGATGATCTTACATCACCAACATGGTACAGTACATTGCCCTCCCCTTTGTGTGAAGGTTTCATGGCCATAGGAAGCTTACCTTGAATCTTTGTTACATAATAATCCTTGCATTTTAATATCATGCCTTTGAGACGACTCAAAATATTTCACAGAATATACTGTAAAGTAAATTGACTGTATATTTTGTGGGCGAAACGCGGCAGCCAATTGCACACAGCAGTGTCCCACAAACAGTCGTGGATTGATTGATCAATTTATTGTTATTAGATTTTTTGAAGGAATTATTACCCCCGGAAAAGGGTTCGGCCAATCGACTAACAGCCGGGGTCCTACTTACTGCTAGTTGAGAGAGGCATGTGAAGTAAGGAACGTTTTGCCAGGCTGGGACTCGAACCCAGGTCTCTTGCTTGTGAGGCGAGCGCTTTAACCACTAAGCTACAGGACTCCGCAAAGGATCTTCACAGGAGCAATAGTGCTTAACACAGCTGGCAAGGCACCCGCCCTGGTCGGGCGGAGGGTGGATGGGGAGTTTCTATGAGTTTTAGTGTCTTCTTTTCTGAAGATGAGCTCTTTCTGAAGATCAGCATCACTTTGATTCTGCGAAAATGCACTATATAGGGAAGCACTGTTGGCTGACCACCTTGTCGATTTCCTTTATTATGTGAAAGGCTCCATTCAGATCACTGCTTCACTTTCTCGGCTATAGTAACTGTAGCTCCTGCCTGTCCTTTGAATGGCCTTTTCTCTGATTTTCAGTGAAAGATTGTAATATACATTGATCTCTTTGTGGATGATATCTCTCTCCATCAACCAGCACAGCCTGTTGGAACCTTGCATTGGCTGTGACTCACATAAATAAAGATCTTCAGACTGAGCAGATTTTGGCAGACAAATGGTGTCTTATTCAAGAAGCACAAGACACAGTTGTTTTTCATTACCGGGCCCATGACTTGTACACTTGCACATTTAATGAGATAACTGATTCAAGAGGTCCTCATCGGCAAAATTTATGAGAACGCACTGCAAAAAACAAAAAAATATATGTGAGGTGGAAAGAGCACATCCACTCTGCACTACGGACAGCTGAAAAGATCATTGAATCTCTGTGGAAGATTTTGGTTTGTGCTATGAAAAGGGGAGTAAAGGGATGGCACAAAGCAGTTTAGGGCCTCATTGAAGCAATGGATGTGCAATAGTTTCATTATCAGGATAACGTCTGGAGATCATAAGATTGGTTTGGATGAAGAACAACCCTTCAGCCCATCTAATCTCATCATCCTTCCAGAATACCCACCCCACTTCCTCCTATCGCAGCTTCGAACTGTTTTTGTGCTGGCCTCAACCACTCTTTCTGGCAATCAATTCCGGTTATCAATTGCTCTCTGGGTAAAGAAATACTTCTCGCTATCTGCCCTTTGTGACTCTAAACGCATGTTTTCTTGTTCTACTGTCTTGGTGCATCCATTTTGCCCACAAAAATATGCAGTCAATTCACATTACAGTACATTTTGTGAAGTGTTTTCAGATATCTCGACGACATGATAAGGGGCTATGTGCAATACAAGGATTATTATTATCCTAACGTATTGTTTTGGGTTTACTTTTCCGATCCCATTTAAAAATGTGATACACGGTGAGTGTGGGACACCAGAAACAAAAGGAGGGTAAGGAGCATCTGAAGGAAACGTGAGGGGAAGTGGATGAGGCTCTCGTGAATATATTTAGATCCACCATAAACACAGGAGCTGCACTTGAGGACTGGAGGAGTGCAACTCTTATCCTGCTATTCAAAACGAGATTGAGATGTGAGCCTAGAAATTATACAACAAGTCATCTTAACAATTTATAGCTGGGAAAAATGTTTGGGAGCATTGCACGGGATCCTATTAATACTTATCTGAAGATTACAGGGAGTTGCCAACATAGATGTCAAACAATGGGTCTTGCCTTGCAAATCTGCTTGAATTGTTTGAGGAAATAACTAAACTAGTGGACAACAAGTGCCATTTGTCAACACAAGAGTGAATATTTCCTTTCCTACATATCAGTAGGAAACTACTTCCCATTATTTGGATTTTCAGAAACTGTCGGACAAAATGCGTAACCATTGTCCACATTGTGGTGTCTACAAGCTAGAGACGAGAAAATGGAAGTGACCCTCTTTGGAGAGAACATGTGTGGGTGTCTGGCAAGGAGAGAGCCATCT